TCCGTACTATGTTCTTCGTCTTCACTCTCGGAATTGGCAGACGACATATTGTCCTCGTCTTCAGACTCATCCAGGTCTTCTGAATCGCCACTTTGGTCAATGTCACTAAGTCCACTGTGATCTCCTTTGTCACCGATTCGTTTCTCCCAGAGCATTGTAGATTGCTTGAGTGCTTTGTTCAATGCCTGTTGCTCTTCCAATTTCTGATTTTCTTCCCAACGAGCAATCTTCGCGCTTTCTACCTCCGCGCGCGCTTGGTCAAACTGACGTTGTAAATCTTTTATCAAAGCTCGTCGTTTTTGGTTCAGTTCTTCCTGCTGCTCCTTGAGAATATCTTCCGGGCGTTTGTTGCGTTTCTTCCATGCATCTGCGCACCAGTGGGCAAATAACTTTGCCAAATGGCGATGGTGCCTGCGTTCTTTGTCAAGGAGCTTTTTGAAATACAGTGCATGGGCGAGAAAATGGTCATGATGCGAATACTGATCTTGCGGCTCCTCTTCCGGGTCTTCCAAATAGATCGAGCATTTATCTTTGCTAAGTAGCCCGCCATTATCAGCCTCGTTCCATAGCCTATCCCACAGCTGATACTCTTGCAACGCAGACGCGGGCGTGGAAGCTTGGCGTTCGTCTTCCACATTTGTCTCGTTTTCTACCCATTCCCGAAACGAATTGTACTTCCTCGGAGGTACCAAATGAGAAGGATTCTGCGGTGCTAGGGAAGGCATTTTGACTTTAAACCGTATTCTTGGTGGCTTCTTGACTGGGCTCATAGCGAAGTTTTGGCCCTCCCCATTATGAACGCTTTGCGAGTCTTCACCGGATAGCCGAATCTGTGAAACAGCCATATTGTCATCTTGACTAGGATCGCAATCATGATGACCGTTGACGGAAAGGGAGTTGTTCGTACCCCGAAGTCTTGTTCGAGAGTTCTTACGGGAGTCCGCCCAAGTCGCCGGTTGCTTTGCCTGCGTAGTTTTCACACCAAGGGCCCGAGAAGAATCTCTGCGGTCTAGACTCCCTTCGAACCCGTTCACCGAGTTATGTCTCCCCGCCCCACGTTTACCGTTCGTACCCGACTTCGATGGCGTCGATAACGGGGAAGGGAGCTCGTGCGATCCAGTGCGGGTACGTTTTGCTTTGACTATGGGCTCTCTTTGAACAGATCGCGTGCGCGGCTTTGCTGGTTGAGGTTGAGTATTAAGTGGGAGAGCATTCGTCCTGGTAGATCTTCGTTTGCCACCATCGAAGAACGACGTGGGGCCTTCAATACCGGCCTTCTTCCACGGCGGCGAAGGGGGTCGCGGAGTCGATCGCGAGGACGAGTCTGCAAGCTTCCGTCTTTTGGGTGGTGGCCCAGGGAGTTGATCAGTCGAGACATCGCCGTCTGCGGCTGAATTCACGTTAGTTACAAACAGACAGATGATAGAAACCACAGTCGGGGGGCGCTTGCCTTGCACTTCCGGAATTGCGTTACTCTTGCTGGTTTCTAACGCGCCGTGATGGGTGCCGTTTTGCATTTCTTGTTGCTAAGACTTGGATGGGGCAACAAACGGAGGCAACCCCAACTTCCTCAACGAAAACACGTCCAACTCGCGTAATTTCAGCATCAATAGGTAGGGCTCGGAGAGGCAGGATTGCACATGAAATCTAGCATAGTTATCGCCAAAGCTGCGTTGCTGGCGGCGAGAAAACACAGTGACTTGATGAGTTGTGTGAGACTTGATTTTCTCTCCAGCTGGCTGCAATTTCCCACCAATGACGCTTATGTAATGCCACGTGACGCTGCCTTTTGCCCACAACTTGACTCCAGCTCAGGCGATGAGACCGCAACGACTCGCTGCTTGTTTGTGTTGTGACGAAGGAGGCTACCAGTGTGAGTGGAACTTGCAGCCGTGCTACTGTTGCTGCATGCTGACTGGCGCTATGTGATTTTCTAGATGCTGTCCAGGCGGATTTTGGCCGCGCGCTTGCCGACGCAGGCTTGTACGAGAATACCCACGACCGCCCGCCCGGCGTTCACGCAAGTTCGACATGCTTCACAGGCTGAGGTTGAAGACCCCGAACTGGTTGGTTCTGAGCAATACGCCCCCGTCGTATGTTCCCAATTGACGTATTCATGCCCCCTAGAACGGCGGGTATCCCAACCCTCCTGCTCAGAAACGCCAATTCCGCGACCCGTACGGTGGTTGGTGGGATCAACAAGACAAGAGAAATTTTGGAGAGCCAGTCCACGAAGATAACGATATCCTCACCACGTTCAGTACCGAATCCTACACCCACTTCAAAGCCCCCAAAGCGTTTTTCTTGCTGGGCTGCGCTATCACCACCGTTTTTGCTTTTAGCGGTGTCGTTAGCTTCTTCTATCCTGACAAGCCGAGCGCACCCCGGACGTTTGACGACGGGCTTGAAAAGGAATTGGGAGGCGTCAATGCTGTCAGGGTAAGTCAATTGACAGCGCACTGGTTTTGCGGCCTACACTAACTTGGAATAGGCAAGAAAGCCTGGCGAAGATTCGTGGTAGAGTAGTTTCAATCGGATTTTGTATGTACATAAGTAGAACTAGTAGTTCTTGATTGCGGCGTCAATTCACGTTATTTTCGATATCATTACAGGAGTCATTCGCAACCACACTTGTACCTTTTGCATGCGAGAGCTGCCTGGAGCTCAGCTCGCCAACAGGGGCTTGAAATTGCATAATCTCCGGCGATCTACTCTTCCTAGTTCCATACTTGCGGCCTGAGCATCCCGTATATCTCATCCGGGCTGGTGGACTGCGTGATGTTTGCTAAATATAAGCGTCAGGCTTGGCGCGCGGCTGCTTTGAGCCTACGTCAGACCCTGCTCTTGTGATTTTATCTAAAACAATCCGAAGACAGGGGCCCCATAGATCGCATCTCTCTGCAAAGCATCCCGTTGAAATTTGCTGGCCCTTGAATTCCTGCCCCGACTTTCTATCGCTCTTTGATCTGGGGAATGGTCGGTTCGAACTCCCACTTCGTTGACGCTCCTGTGACCTCTTCCGGACTTGTGGGATCGGTAAGGTGAACCCCCCGGACGTTTCACCATTTCCCCTTTGGAGACCCTTCAGGCGTCCAACTCCAGAGAAGCTCTAATTTCTGAAAGCTCCATCTGACGGTATTTCCTTGTTACTGATTCGGGTT